ATGTGCTTTAAAATGTATGCCCCAATAATCTAAACAAATATAAAGATTATTTTGAGTATTTATTGCCCCATGCCTGATGACAAAGGGCTCCACTAGCTTCTGCTAAAACAATTACGCAAATGTTAATTAGCCAATCAAAAAACAATAACGGGACCCCCCCCCCTTTCTCCCAATTAAATATACATATATATACATATAAATCTAAAATATCTACAAGCATGCATTACCTTTACGGTGGACAAACAGCGTTCAGGATCCCTGCACATGAAGCAGAGAAGAAACATCGTGATTGGGGGTAAATCATTGCAATAGAGCGGTTTCTTTGTTTAGCCAGCTGTAGGTTACAGCATACACACGGATGTCATGGGGCTCCCTTGCTCTTTGTCCGATCCCCCCACCCCCCCATCTCAATGTACACATACACACACACACACACACACACATATATGTACACACACACACACACACACACCAGAACAAAAACAACACAAACATTAAAGCTTACCGTTTTTCAGAGGATGCTTATGGAGGAGGAGAGCAGATATTAAAGAGGGATGCTGTCTGTTGTGGTCCCCGTTGTTGTCCTCACCGCTTTCTCTCTCTCTCTCTCTCTCTCTCTCTCCCGTCCCGTCCTCCTCTTCCTCCCCTCTCTGGATGCTCTCCGCTCTTTGTGCCTGCCGTACTCTCCCTCTCCTCCTCCTCTGGTGTTCAGATACTCAGAGGCTCGGCTCTCTGTGTGTGTGTGTGTCTTTTATTTATTTATTTATTTTTTTTTTTTTACAAAAGCCCCGTGTTGCCGCCGGTCTGGAGGTCTGGAGGAGAGAAGTCCCAGCAGGTGAGTCCCGCTCAAAAACAGAAAAAAATCACAGCTTGTCACCGGTCCCACTGAAATTCAACCTCTCGACTCTCCAAAAAAAAAAAAGAGAGGAAAATCCAGAGTAAAACTGAGCTTATAGTTTTTTTCACCTTTCACGAAAAAGCCTACTTTTAATTCCTATTTAATTACAAAGTGATAGCAGGGCTTACCGGCTGCTTTTAAATCTCGGGTAACATCCAACCGTTTGAACCGACGTTTAACGGCCGTTCCGAACCGTTAATGGAGGCTACTCTAACTTTACTATTCTTCCTATTTTCTGGTCGTCTCGCAGCGTCTCACCCGTCCAACGGCTGGATGGCTTTTCACGTCCAATGCCGGTGTCTCCTCTACTCTCTTTCTCTCCTCTACTCTCTTTCTCTCCCTCCTTCCTCTCCTCCCCTCCTCCTCCTCCTCTCGCCGGAGCGGTTGCTACCCCGTGACGTAACTCCCAGGGACCGTTGACAAACTTTCCCGCCGTGCTCACGCGAACAAAAAAAAAAAAACGGCCCTTTTACAAACTCAACCGCCTTTAAAACCTAATTCCCTCCACTTAGCGACACACGTGCTACGTTCAAATCGACAATTTTAATTTTTAATTTTAATTTTTCGTTTCCTACGCGGCGGTTTGCCGGTGACATATTTGTAGACGTCGCCTAGAGAACGACACCGTGCGCGGAACCGCCTATTGTTCTAGCCGCGAGCCCTGGCCTTGGTGCTGAAACGATGCCTCTTGACGTGAAGCCGAAGCGCGCCGCCGACGTCGTGCACGACAGTCACGACTACTACAGCTGTTCACGCCCGAGCCCGAAATCACACTCACACCCACTCAGAGTAAAAAAATGTGTGACAGAGAGAAGGAGAGATAGCTCGGGGTTGGAGTTGGCCTACTTTACAGCATGTACTTTGGAAAACCGGCCGACATTGGGCTGTTTCACTGGGATATGTAAAGACAAGCCTGCCTCCAATTTTATTGCAAAACAAACCAGATAACAGTATTTTTTATTGTCTTTGATGTGTGTGTGTGTGTGTCGAGAGTCTTGGGAGGAGAGATTGAGTGAAAGGAGAGTCATAGGGTTCATGGTAATTTACTCCAAAAGGTCACCATCTGCCTGCCTTGCCTCGTGCCCTCTGTAAGCCAGCATCCCCCGCCACATTCATCCACCATATATACCCCCCACACACACACATACACAGACACACACACACACACACGCTCTTGCATGTATACCACCACACTAGGGGCTTTCTTACAAACCCAGCACCGGCAGAGGAGGCACGCAACGCCCGCTGCGCCCTGAGGATGTGAGCGGTGTGCAGGCAGCGGGCAGCACGCCACCGGAGCTGTTAAGCCTCCCTGCACGATGTAGAAGAAACGGCTATAACGCACGCAAGTGCAAGAGCAAAGACGAGGGAGGCTGTAACACTATTACCATATTCATAAAGTTTCAGAATGGTCTGTTTTATAGGCCTGTTTGTTTGAAAGCAGCAGCTATTTCAAGATAGCAGATTTTTGAAGATAAAAAATATTTTATTTCAATATCCCAGGTCTGGAAATGCATGAAAATGGTTCCCACTGTCCATAAGATAATGTCCCACCAGGCAAGTGCCTTGGAAATCCTGGCATGCTCTTTACCATTATGGTGATGTATATTTTATAGGCAGTTCCCAGTATTTTCAGACTCAATATATCCAAATGTGGCTGCTTTTATGGTGAGAAGTACATTAAAATCACTGATTGTCTTGACAAATTGGTATTTCTCCAGCAGAATAAAAAAAAAGTGTGGATAAGGCTTTGAAACATCGCGAAGACCTTGGAAAATAATAACATTAACAGAAAATGTAACTGAGAGACTCATGACCCCAGTATCTCAATGGCCCTGTCACTTGGCATCCAATCCCACCTCTCTTAATACTGCACAAGATGCCACTCAACATACTCCTACTCCTGCAGCCACCTCAAGGCAGTAAGACATATCTGACCCTTTTTGCATTATGCACTCTGCACAATAAACTTGATTTTGACATGTTGTCTTTGAATCAGACATTGAAACCTCATATTCTATATAAAAAATGCTTCATGAAAGACTAGGTCCTGTAATTTCAACTGTGTTGTATGTGAATGTTGTAAATCGACGGTGTGCATTCTCATCTGACTACTGAACTAAATCATTTTATGGTGCCATTTTGCACAAGTGACTCTTGAAAAACAGATAATGTATCTCAAGAGACTTCCTGGTTAAATAAATGAATACATTCATTAATTTAAAAAATCTATTTGACTACAAAGTCAAGCAATGTAAGTGAAACCTTGGCACCAAAAAGAGACATTTACTCTACAGATTACTCATTTCTGAGGAAAACTGGGCCTGTTCATTCATGTATATGAAACTCAACGGCGCCATCGTTTGGAGGAAACTGGCCACATCACCCTTATTCTGTGGACAAAAGCAAACATGACACCGATTAACTTCTCTGTTGTTTCAATTTTATTTAAAATGCAGCTTTGAGATAATAGTTTTTCCACACTGTTTTTTGTTTTTGCATGATAATAAAAAAAAGTCTGTGTATCATAAATCTCATAAACTCTGGTGGTAACATAGAAAATACGCTACAGCTTCTTAAAACAGAAAATAAATTACATGTTCTTTAGATAATAGATAAATTACTATCCTTTTTTTTGTTTTTATATAAAAAGTAATTTTTACTACGAGGGATTAGAGACAAGAATGACACATTCAAAGCCATGATCGCAAAACACACAACCATACAGACACATCACACACGCAAACATCCACAATTCTCAAGTAGAATAAAGTCACTGATTCTCTTGTCAAATGCAAAATACAACTTATATGACAGTTAGATGTGAATAAATGCGGCCTACAACAACACTTCTGATCTACTCAGTTATAAAACATAAGCGCCTACTTATTCAAAGAAATTATAGATATTAAACATATCTGACAAATATACAGACTCCTCACCCTCGAGTGGGCAGGGTGTATTGTGTGTGTGTGTGTGTGTTTCTTCTTGGGAGGTGTGGGAAGAGAAAAAGAGAAAAAGTAAAAACTGTTACAAGAGCAGAAGAGAGAAAAGTTTAAAAAGTACTTACACACATATACAGAGGTCGCTGCCTCATAATGCAAAATATTTACTTTCAGGTCAAAGCAGAATGATTGCATTTGATCCATAGCTTGAGCTAAATTATAGTTTTAAAAAAAAACTGTTATAAGAAAGCAGCTTTCTCAGTCTCCATGAGGTTTTCCTAATTCTGGCTTCACCTACTCTCATAGGACAGATCCATCATCTCCTCCAAAGAAGGAGACGATGGAGGATAATAAAATATATATTGAGATGAGGTGAGAAAACAGGGAGGACATCAAGTTGTTCTTTTTAATACCTCGACACAATCGTCATGGTGACAAGAGCACTAAAATTAGGTCAGCCAGGAGTGAATCATTTTACATCTCCAAACCTGTGTGGCATCACTGACTTCATGGTTAAAGGCGATATTCTGTATTTTTCTTATTGTCAAACAAATAAAAAGACCAAAACCAGAAAACCAAAAGTGTCATACAGCTGGTCCACTAGTTCCAGAAATTATTAAATACATACAATTCAGCCACACTGTTGCACTGGATGATGTGTTTCTTCAATAAGATAAACATGAACAGTTCATTTTTGAGTCAATTCTGTTGTCATAAATACTCACTAATGTAGTAGAATATGCAGCAGAATAAAAGTACCAAACAAATTCTGATAGCTCCCCTGGTAGAGCCCTTTGCTGCCTGTCATCCCTCCTCTACCTCCCACCTTCCCTGTCTTTCCGAGCTGTTTTAGAAAATTACTAAAGATTTATGTCATCAGTAGGAACCAACAGACATGGTTGAGAAGTCAGAAAGTATTGACAGACTAACACATTGTGTGATTTGTTGACAATAAGAAAGGTACAGAACAACACCAGTCTCATCACTTTATACTTTGATTTTTTAAATGTATTTCTTTTTTTTGTGCCTTTTTTTCTGTTATTTAGCAGCAGCATCGTCTTTAGTTTAGTAAAAACACAACTGCAACTAGCTGTGGATTTTAACTCCAACAGCCCACTTTAAAACAATGTATGTAAGTGACATTAATATGCTGAAGGACTCTACAGACTCTGTGTTTACCATCTTTGTCTCATATCCTTCTAGTTCAGGAAGAATCTCACCTCTTCCTGCTCTGATATATTTGGTCACCTACTGCCATGCTCAACCCCACACCTTTGGTTCATCTGTCCAAATACTGAACTGCACAATAAGAGGACACTTGAGGAAATATTTTTGGCAAAAGGAAAAAAAGACACACAATATGTTAATGAAATCCTTCTAGCTTAGTTGGGCCACTGTAGCGCAGTGGGAGACGTCTGCATTGTACACAAGCACAGCAGATCTATTCCAGTAGATCTTCAGCACACATAGTATTTAGTATACACAGTTTATCTAGCATACATGGTAATTATTTGTTCAGCACATTTCTTTTAATAATTAGTGGTATGTATGTTTGATCTGTCATCTGTTTTAAGATCCTGTATATAAGAGACAATTTCTTTTTAAGGCTAAATTTGCTGTTGAAACACAGCCGTGTCGTCAGTGAGAACCTTCCGTTACAATCTCTCAGCTATAGAAAAGAGTTTAAATCATCGCAAATGCATCACTCAGTCCTGTGTGACACACTGTGAACCTGTTAAAGCTAATGCACAAAGTAAACAGAAGCAAGCTCAGTGGAATTTGTGGTTCTAAAAAGACAATATAAAATAGTAGGCAGAGAACTGGAAAAAGGAACCGGCTGCTTTCACAGTGTTTTACCTGAAGATTCAGGAGAAAAGAGAAAATAAATGTTTTCTGACGGCTGTCGCAGGGATTATGTCTACTCTGGGCTGTCCTTTTCTACACACTTGTCATCAGCCCTTTTGACCCCATCCATGACTTCTTGCACACCTTGGCTGTCTGTGATTGGCTGATCAGTGCCTCTTGGCACGCTGAGCACTCTGGGTGCACGAGGCACAGCAGGCGCTCTTGTAGTAAGAGTAGACGCACAGCCTGGCCTGAACCACCATCACGCAGTTGTGACGTCTGTCCCGGCAATTTTCGTCTGTGAACAGAGACGAGGAGGAGAGAGGTTGGTAGGGAGAATGACCGAGAACACACATGAATATGCTGTCACAACGTCACACACAACCAACCTGAGACTTGTGGACTGCAGGGAATTGTGTTGCAGATTTGCTCCTGTTCAGGTTTGGGGCGCAAATCACAGTCATGGCTGTGCTTTTTATCTTGCGTTAAACACCGTACCTCCCTCATTTGTAAGCCTTTTCCACAAGAACGTGAGCACTGAGAACAAAGGCAGAGAGAGAGTGTAAAAAAACACAGTTCTAATTTTCTCTTTCCAACATTTAATTCTCAATTAATTGTGTCCCTTTGTCTCTCACCGCACTCCACTCTGTTGTGAACCACTGCGGCTGACACTCTCCCATCTCACACTCTTGGACCGCGACAGGCTTGTCCAGATGTGCACACTCACTGGCTGATGCGACAGTAAAATCATTCCCTGTCTTCCGGACACAAATTATGTCTCGTCGCTGAGTTCCATTCCCACATTGGACATTACACTGGAAAAATAACAAGAACTAGTTACAAGGAATACAATAGCTGTGTTTGTGACTGCCCTTTTACTCCTAAACAAACCTTTATGTACAAAAAAAACCAAGCAGAAGAATTTAATAAAATGCAAGATAACACAAAGGACTACATAAAGTATTAATTAAAGTTAGGTGTCAATATAAGTGTCTATAATTGTAGAATCTCAGAGGTTTGAATCTGTTTTCCCTGCATCCTACCTGTGTCCAGGGGCTGCTGTACCACATGGTTGTTGCCACACAGGGACCCCCGTTGCAGGCCTTCATCTCTGCTGGTTTGTCCCCAACACAGTCCCCTCCTCCTCCACCCTCCCTGACCCCTCCTCGAGTCAGACACACCACCTCCCTCCTCTGCACCCCTGGGCCACACTGTGCCGAACACTGAGGGACAAAGTGGAAGATCATGTTGAGGATTACTGTTAAGTGCTGTGTATGTTTCTTCATTTGCTTCTGTGTATGGGTGTTACTCACAGTGTTGGACCAGTCAGTAAAGTACCAGTTAGTCACACAGGGACCCATGTTGCACTCCTCACTTCCCTGTGGGCGAGCCCTGGAGTTGCACTCCTTGTCGTTTACGATGCTGCCTTGGTCGCTGAGGCAGCGCACACTCCTTGTCCTCCTCCCAACTCCACAGTCCACGGAGCACTATGACAAATGGAGAGGAGAAACACAATAATGAGTATAAACAGATGAGAGAAAGGGCATAATACTAGCTGACAGTTGATTTTCAATCAATAAATCCTTTATTTGTTCCCAAAAGAGCAATTGGCTGCAGAACAGTTGTTGGTTGTTGTGAACTGTGTGCTTTTGTTATTATTATCTATTATAAATGTTTTATTCATTCAACATATGCAACTGATTAATAGAAAAACTTAAATTAACCATGATCTTAAAAAATGGTTTGTTGCAACCCAGCCCATGGCGCAGTGCCTACAGCAGTCTCCAACTTGAAAAGAACTTAAATAGTTATATGGTAACCTAATGAAGGAACTAAAATTTAAATTTATGACAGAGCCACATAAAAAGTCCCATGTCAAAAATAAAAAGAACTTTGTACACACAAAAATGTTTTGTTTATTTTAACCCAACTCCACCCACTCTCTCTCTCTTTCAGTCTGTGTTTGCTTCTGTGACTTGGCCTCTTTTACCATGTCCGCACCCCCATTAGCAAATCCATTTCCCAGTGACACACTGGTGTTGTTGACCTACCGTGCTCCAGTCAGAGCTGACCTCCCAGTGGGAGCAGAGGCGGAGCTCACACGCCTGTGTGGACTCTGGTGGTGTGAGGTTGGCGCAGCGCTGTGGGTGGACCATGGTGGAGCGGTCCCCAAAGCTCTGCCTGCACTGGAGCTGCCTCTGCTGCACGCCAGGGCCACAGGACACGCTGCACTCAGACCATGAACTGGCCTCCCAGCTGAGAGAAACAGTGAGGGAGAAAGAGAGAGAGAGAAATGAAGCTGTGAAATAACACAAAATAATATGCCTTCAGACAACTATTTCAATAAAATCCAAGACTGTGTGTCAGTATTAGATGCACATGTCAGCTCACTTCACTGGTATCCTGACAATGAAGTCAACCATTATCCAAAAATGATGGTCTTTTAGATTTCAGTGAGCATGTTTTGGTCCCTCCCTGGCATCCACTGGTTTCCTCTCATAATAATCTGTTTGCAGAGTCTAATCATCAAGTCAGCAATGACTACATAAGGAGATTCTGCAGTGTGATTTGTGTGTGAAAGCTGCACTGGCTTCTGTAGCAAAATGCATTACTTTCACATCCTGGAGAGCTGAAGTTTTGGAACTGAATATAAATCTTTTTAAGGTATATATAATGTGTATCTCTTCAAGTTAACTGTGTATTTACTCACAATGGTGGGCAGGGATGTGTGTTACAAGGCTCCTCCTCGGGGACAGGTTTGGCTGCAGAATCACATTTCCTCTCTGGGACTTCCTCATCTGTATGGCGGTCTATACACAGAATGACTCGGTACTGAGTACCTACAGAGAGAGAGAGAGAGATAAATAGATCCACAGAATGAGAAAGACATAAACTCCATGTTCTTGTACTTGCACCTACCAACCAGAGGAGGGAGGCATCACACCATCCAAGTGAATAAATATCATTTTGAGTATTTAATTTCGATTAATTTAAAAATGACACAAATATGAAGATCTGCAAGGCTAATCTGAATCTAACCTTTGCCACAGGAAACAGAACAGTCGGTGAGTCCGCCTCTCCTCCACACAAATGGTGGCTGAGTGTCCAGTGGTAGGTCTGTGCGAGGGGGGATCCGAGCATTCCTGTTGGGTGCAGAGCCTCGAGGACGTGACCTCTCAGGTGTCCACCGGTCCGAGGAGGGGGGAGAAAACACAGAGGACGAGGAGGAGGAGGAAGAGGGAAGTGAAGGGACCGAAATAGGAGGAGGAGCAGGAGGAGGGTCTTCTACTGATACGGTGAGAGGACCTGCGAGAGAAGAAAAAAATAGATTTATACAAATTAGAGAGAGGAGAAGATTGGGAAACAGATATGAGGAGGAGCAGAGAGGAGCGATATAGAGGGAAGAAAGAAGCAAAACATGAATGTTGAAATGTTGAGAACAGGAGGAAGGCAATGAGTCAGAGGCTAATGATGTCATGATGAGGTCAGGGTCTCATGACAGCGAACATGTGGACCAGATAGCCTCCCATCTAGGTCATATACAAACACACAAACACACTTACACACAATAATCCCTCCCACTTGGCCCACAACCACACCCATCCTAAACCATAAACACGTCAATCATTCTCCAAGGACATGGGTTGCAGTGGTGTTTCCTTGAGTAATTTGGAAAGAATGAATGCTGAGATCTTGATTTAGGGTTCAGTTCTGCCACTGACAAGATTCAAGTATGTGCTGAACATGACTGTCGAGAGCGTAGTGTCTCCTACTGTACAGAACACACAGAAAACAAGGCTGCACAACAAAAGAAGGGAAATCAGAAGTGCGATGGACGTACTGCGAAGGGGTGCTCTCCCTGGCTCTCGCTCCCTCTGCCTCTCTCTGGGTGCCTCTCTGGGTGTCTCCCTCTCTCTCTCTGTCAGCCTCTCCCTCTCTGCCTCCTTCTTCTCCACCGGGATATAAAACTCATAGTCGATGCCTGGGTTCTCCTTGTGGAAAATGATCTGGCGAGTAAAACAGGGTGAGAGAAGAGACAGAACTAGGTGAAAAGCAGCAAACAATAAGTAATACTCTAAAACAGCTTTAAAGATTTACGTTACGTTTATGTTAGAGACCAGGATGAGTTACAGTTTAGCCCTTATGGCCCTCGCAGTGTCATGTTCAAGGATACCACAGCAGGGTGTATGCTTGCCACTATGTCTCTTACTATGAAGCCCTGTGCCCTATCTTACAAGACTTAACATAGTCAAGGTCATCTAAACTTAATCAGCTGGAGTCCCCTGGCAACAACATTGTGATCTGCTATTTTATGCCAGAGACGGCAATGTAATACAATCAGTCCAACATATCTCAATACCAACGGGATGGACTGACATTAAATTGATGGAAGTGCTCATGGTCCCCCAAGCTTCGTTACCTCAGTTCATGACAATGTAAAACTGTGTTGTGTTGTTTTTACACTGTTTGTTCAGACTAAAGAAAACAAGTTATAATGTGTTTAATATTGAGCTTTAGAGGTGCTGATAGACAAATTGTGTTACCTTTGGACAGAGTGAGGCTAGCTGTTTCCAGTGTGCAATGAGCAGCCTCGTGGTGCTACTGGCGTGGCTGGTTATAGACTTTTAGTCTTTTTATGTCTTATTTGAAAATCCCAAGACTTAAAAATGCACGTGATTCCAGAGGAGATCGACCACCAGCTTTGGTGGATGCTTGCTATTTTTACCCCCCTCCTGCCCTGTAGCTACTGAATGCAAAGCTGCAGATGACTCCTGTTCTTTAATAAGATCTTAGCCTGAGGTTAGAGTCGTTATTATTAAGCCGTGTATAGTCAGATGTGGCTCAGGCTTAGCTTTACTATAGCTGACTTTATCCCACCATAATACTCAAATAATGCTGGCTATCTGGAGGATCTTGACACAGAGCAGGAGAGCATAGCCTTGGGCTTACGGCAATGTTATAGAGATGTGAAACACTGTGTATACATGTGTGTCCATGTATGTATGCGATTCTTATCATTAACTTAATTTTGTCATGCTCGGGTTCATGTTTGCTTACAGGGTTAGAATAAATGCCTTCCTGTGGTCCAATACTTACATATAGCTGTAGCTGTGTGGTGGTGGGTCCTGGAGCCCTGAGGGACTCGCCCTTCTCTTCCTCCCCCTCTGCCTGTGCTCTAGGTCGGGTGTAGGTGAAGGTAGTCCCTCCCGCCTGGTACTCCCCTGGAGGGTCCACAGCCCACCGCCCATTCACCACTGAAGCCCCAGTGCCACTCCTCATGGCTGGAGAAATAGGGGGTGGGGGCAGAGTGTCAGAAAGGCAGACAAGAGGAATGAAGCTAGACTTGAGTCAAGTTTTCTTTTCTTATTTTGACCTTGTTTAGTCTACAAAGTGGCGAACTCTTGAAAAAACCCCATGATAACAAACACAGACTCAGACAGACACATACAACCTTTGGAGTGCTGTTTTGTTACCGAACAGGGGGCTGGCAAGACAAACAGTCCCACATACACATACACACTTCACCAGTTCCTTTTGGGCTCTAACACAATTCTGGCTTTATCCGCACGGAGTCTGTGAGGCTGCAAAATTTACAGTCTTAGTCTAAGCCAGCACACACATACTCATAGGCCAAATCTCATTCCCAAATCTGCAATTCCCTCGCCAACGTCTCACTTTTACTGGAGCCACAACTACTATTATTTGAGAAATCTTAAATTGCATGTGTGTGCGCGTGCTTTTGTTTGTGTCATTACCCAGGTAATTAGGACTCGCTCGTCTCTCTGTGATGTTAATGAATGTAGCTCCGGGCGGGATGTCAAGGATCTTGTGGTAACCAAGGGGAACCGTGACATTTTGGAAGCTTCCAGTCACCTTTCGACAGGAGGTTTCCCGCCCACCACAGACTCCACATTTGTCAATCACAGAGCCGGAGCCCAGTACCCCATCGCAGCCCTCGGTCTGGCAGAAAAAAACAGGGGAAAAGATGTGAGTGATGGGTCAGACAATGAGGGGGAAAAACGTGGGGTAGGAGAACAAGAGAGATGAGGGAAGAAGGGTGGGGGCAGGGCAAGGAATAGCTAATTCCAATCTAGTTGACATTTCACATCCAGTGCCAGTGTTTATTTCAGCGTTTTTTGAGTAAATTGCTAACTGTCGCTGGCCAGATTCCTACCAGAAACAGAAGGTCTGATTTCTGCAAAATCAGAAAGAGTGTAAATGAGACTTAGGAAACAGAGAAAAGAGGCCCAGCGTAAGGTAATAACAAAACGATTGGAGACTGAATCACTGAATGTGAATGCCAGGCTTAAATCAGCCTCCAGACATGAGACTAAGAGAGCCAGTTTCTGGACTTTGTCTACCCCCGTTTAGACAGGAGGGACTTGGGCTCAGTCACTTGAAGCCAAAATCTCACACATTTAAATACACTCACCAGACACTGTCCTTCTACACACACATCGTTTGAGCTGACGTTGAAGCAGGGTGTCCCGTCTCTAACGCGCTCGGCCTGACGAACATAGAAACGGTAGCCGGCAGGTCTGCAGGTCAGCTCGCACTGCTTGTCCGCACCAACTGCAACATAGAGAGGATAGGAGGATTATTGCACAACGTATATGTTTGTCATAAATGTGTGTAAAATCTCCTGTATGACTGTATTTAGTTTCTTTGTGCGTCTGCCTGGTGTGGAGAAGACCCAGCTGGGCGCTGAACATCTTTCCATGTGGTCAGGAAACTGAGGCAAGGCCATATAACCCCTGACTGTCAGACAGCACCAGAGTGATTAGCTATTTCCCCTGCTGCTCAGATGTACGAGTGCACTCACTGCTGCACCTTCCCAGGAGATACATACCCAGAAGAGAGGTGTAAACATAAGCCTGAGGAAGGTTTGATTTATGAGAGGAACCTAACGGGCGCACACAGCAGTGAGACACGTAGTTGGGAAGAGCGAACAGAAGGGAAGAATCAGAGAAAGAGAAGACAGCTTCAAGGTAAAAGAGGAAATTGAAACCTTTCAGTACTGAGAGAATAGGCGGATGAGTGCAGAATACAGAGGATCTCATAAGGGAATAGGGGTGGGGTGATGGCAAAAAATGTAGAGAAAGTAAGACGAGTACGTGGTGAAATACAATAAGCATGTTTAAATAGTTCTTGGGAAATATTTACTTTCTTTCTATGAGAAGATATCAATCAGTCGTCACACAGATGTTACATGAAACCTTTAACTTTCAAAACCACAAATTGTAATTTTTACACATTTGTTTCTGTAAGGATTAAACAAACAAGATACACAATGTGTTATTTACCGAGCTTTAAAGGTGTTGGTAAGTATATTTTTGAACTTTGGACTGAGCCAAGCTTGCTATTTCCCCAGTGTCTATGCTAAACTAGGCTAACCACATCCTACCTCCAGCTCTGTGTGTAAAGGGCAAGTGTGCCAATTTTACACACCAAAGTCTGTTTACACGTCCTGAGGAGTGCTACTGCAAATGTGAAAAAAGTTGTATTAAGTCTTTCGTGTGTCCAGAGGGAGTTGCGTTGATAAACTGCCTCAAGATATGTTACTTGAGTCAGCGTCATGTGGAGCTGAGGATTAAAAGTTTTAAAATGATGAATGTCCATGTAAACATTGCATGTTGGGTAATAAAGGTGCAGGTTGTGACAAGATAGATGTGTGTGGAGTAAAAAAGAAAATATAGCTCTGATTTTGCAGCAACAAATTAAAAAAAAAATTCCATTGTGGGTCCGACAATGTAATAGAAATGCATTGACAAAATGTGGAGTTCTCTTTTAACACACAGACATGAGATGATCTTCTTGTCTCATTTTTTGAAAGAAAGCAAATAAGCAGTTTAAAGAAGGCTTTAAACTTTAAAGAAGAGAGAACGCGATAGAGGAACGGGTGATAAAGGCAGGAAGGGACAGTGAGTGGCCCCGCTGTTCATCATTGCTCTTTGAGCTTGGAGATTGGGGGGTGTAACAGGGGTTAAAGGCGTCTGGCAGAGCTGGTGTGTGTGTGTGTGTGTTTGTGTGAAATAGAGCTATATAGACATGATCTCATAGCATGAGTAAGGGGTCATAGATTTAGTTGCAGAAGGGAGGGAGGGGTTTCTGTCACTGGGAGTTCAAGGGTTAAAAGCATAAATTCTGTGCTCCTGAAATTGTGACTTCTTACTATGGTGTCATATTTCTTAAGACAGAAATGTTATATTAACTACTACTTAATACGATTAAGTTCTACATGAATATAAACAATTGTACAGTCATATTATCCTGTCTTTGATGTAATTTGAAAAATAGCCATTTCTCTCCAAAAACACTTCTTTTGTAAAAATAAGTAATAAAAGTGCATTTCTAATATTACTACTTAATTTTCATATAATAACAATGAAGATTGTCTCACCATGAAAATATTTCTTCTCCAAGTTCAAATAAGCCATCATCAGCAGGTAACCTAGAGCCCCTACCATTTTCAAAGTCAAGAGGCTCATAAGAGAATGACCTCTTGACCATAAGAGATAGCCAAGAACAAAGACTAAAGGTCAAATACCAGACCCCTGGTTTCCCCTTGTGTGTCCAAGAGAGAATGCAAAAGGTATGTATTGAATTCAAAGGAACTCCATATGCTTTCACAGAATCTCTGAAGTTCCTTGAATCTCTATAAATAAAGTACAACAAAGGTTTGCCAGGTATAAAACAGTGGACAGGTCATGGTAAATTAAAACAGCAAACCTCCAGAGTGAAGAGAAGGATTAGTAAAACTGGACTGTTCAGATGCCATTTCATTGTTTTGTTGGTTTCCATTTCAGCAGGACACCACCCAAACAGAAGGATAAGGTGCACATGAGGCTTGGTGTATTTCAGTGGGAAGGCAGAGTGAACCAAGTGTTATCTTAATGACAAAAAGTGGCCTATAGGCTTTCTTCAGTAGATTTCCAAAATACCTCAGCAACAGGGATGAGCCACATTGTGAGTCTCGACCAAAGACAGTACAGTTTGGACTGAGACACTGAGTACAGGTTTGTGCCTTTGCGAGTTAGAAATCCGGATTTATGGTTGTTTGTCTGACCAAATATGTTAAGACATTGAAGAGTGTATTTTATCTCACTAAGTGGCTGGAAGTGGTCTGGAAGTTATACACGTGAAGCAATTGACCCAGGCTGGATGTTTATCTTCCACAACTTTGTAGGGAAATGAAGGTAATGCATTAACCTGACTGCACCAGATGGTTCGTTACACAGAACCAGAAGAAAGATTCTCGCACAAGGTTAGTAAGAGTAGTAGTAGTACATCAATTTGCTTAGAAATATATTTTGAAAATGTAGTGGTGGTCCTTCAGCTTTGGCAAACATCTGCTTCACAATACTTGCCGAGCACATGGTATAAAACATTAGAAAGTGATTCACCAACATACAACAAAGTGTTATCAGCATACATGGAAACTATCTAGTGCCTATGAGAGATAGAAAAAGTTATAAAGGAGTGTTGTCTTTCTGTCTCTGATTTCAATAATGTGGGACCAAAACTGCTTCAATTCCTTTTTTTAAAATGATTTATTATTTTTAGCTTAATCTGATGGTACTTATTATAAAACAAATCTGTTATTTTAAAGTACTTGACATTTAAATATGGGATAAAAATTCAGCTTTTACTGATTTTACCAATTGATTTTATTGATGTAACTATTTTTGATTAACACACGAATGTCTTGTTAGTACTACTGTACAATAACGTGTATTAAGCATGAGTCACTGTCGATGACTACCATACAAATGAGCCAAACTTCTGTCTCCAGTTATGTGTTATGATTCTTTTGCTACTGTCTGATACTTGCAGAGAGACAGATATACAGTACAAAATTAGAAAGAGAAAGAGAAAGGGAAGCAGTGTTCCCACCCTCTCTCTCTCCACCCTGGTTCTCTCTTTCCGTCTGTCATAGTTATCTTTGAGAGATTAGACTGGAGACAGTGACAGAAAAGAGAGGGGGAGCTAAAAGTGGGATACGTGTTGCCACTCATGTACTCTCTGTATTCTCCCTCCTCATCTCCCTTATTCTCCATCTCCTCTTCTTCTTGCCCCGAAGTCATGTTCGAGCACTCTCCAACTCCTAATCACCTTGGAGTCTATTTTTGGTCTTTATCTTTCATTTGTCTCTTGCTACTTCTCTCTGCTTCTCTGTTTCTCTCTTCGCCTCAATCTCTGGCGTCTCTTTCTCTTCCACTGTCTCTCTCTCCCTCTCTCCCTCTCTGAGCTTAGTGTTCAGACAGTGGAATATATGTTGTCTAAATATACTTCCCCACTATCTCTCCGTCTAAACAAACTCCAACAGTGAGAGAGAAAGAGAGAGGCATTGGGACAGGAAGAGGGGAGGATGAGTGCGCAGAGAGGGGATGAGGCCTGAAAAAAAGGGAATATTCAAGTAAAACAACACCTGCACGTGCAGTGCTTACAGAATTAAAGCGGTACTTTTATCGAGAGCAGAGCTTGTGGGAGGAAACATTACCACTAATATGAACCAGGACTATCACTTCTGTGGTTTATCACTGCAGTGGCAGCTTTACAGTTTAAGCTTCCAGTTCCAAACTATAGGCCACAACACTGTGCAGTACATACATAACAGGGCTGTCACCTTGGAGGCAAAAGATTGCACACTAAGTAGCAAGAGCTGACTGCACAGTGTAACATAAATACTAACGGGAAATATTTGCAGCGCCGTACAAAGTCCTAAACAGATGAGTGCAGCTGGAGAGAAATGACTAACACACCATTCAAAACACACACACACACTCCTCGGTCCTCACAGCCTCCAGTGTGTTGATGGGAAGCTAGATATGAAGGTTTGGGTTGTAGCCAATGGGACCGGACTGGAGTAAACAGTGCGATAGAGTTTACTTAGCAGAGTGGAAAAGGATCAGCTCCAGAGCAGATCGAGTGTGTCTGACACAGCTGATGTCATCTGCATACAGTTTTGATACGTACAGTACTGTATTTAAGAGACAGACACCAACAAAAGGTGACATCTGCAATTTGGTGGCTTGCAGTAATATGACCAAGTCTTGTCTTTCTAGTGGCAGAACCATGATTTACCCCCCTATCAGTTCTCTGTTTTTCCTCCCTTCCTCTCTCTCTCTATCTCTCGCTCTATCTCCAGTCCTCTCCTCTTCTCAGCAGATCTCAAGGTCACAGTGGTTTAAAATAAGCCAGAGTAGAGCAGAGGGCAAGGATGCACAGATAGAAAGAATTTAAGAGCAGCTCAATTCAGGATAAATACAGTAATCTCACGCTTTTTCCCCTCACAAACACACAGAGACGGGGGGTGGTGTGTGTTTACGCAGACAGTTAGACTCCAGTTGATACCCCGGCGATGACTCCTGGTACAGATGTGCAGCGTACATAGTCTAGATCTGCCTGCATCCTCAAAACTGTACTCGCTCTGTGTTGTCTTGAGCAAGGCAGGGAATCTACCAGCAGAGTCCCTGCCTCTGACCTTTTAAACAAGCAATGGAAATAAATTATTTCATCCATCCATTATCTGTAAACGCTTATCCTTTGTGTGGCCAGCTCATACTGGGTGAGAGGCAACCCGAGTACACCCAGTACATGTCACCACAAATAAGTTACTTTGCTGACCAGGTAGTGTAAAGCGGGTTAATTGGCACTTTTTCACCATAAACAGCTGCCTGCTGCTTCTGTAATTGCGGTTAATGAGATTTGTGACAGTGAAAACTGTAAATTTGAGGCCCATAACACAAAAACAATTAGCCCAAAGATACTAAAATGCTCCATAGGGCAGAGTGGAAGTGCAGAGTCGGGTTACATTTCTCTGTGGGTTCATCACTATAAGCAAACCTTTCACATTAGATACAGTCTTTTTTGCTTAATTGTTAGTATATAGTAGTAGTAATATAGAATATTGTTTAGTGCAGCTTTGATATTGTTTTTTTCCTGTGTCATTCTTCCTAACATCTTCATTGGGTTACTATGTTTTTAATTTTGTGTGTATTGTTTTAAGACAGAATAAAACCAGACTAATGTAGTAGCTCTACACTCTCACAACCAGCTGATACAGCAATCACAAATGCACAGACAGACAGATAAACAAACATACATGCACACACATTTTTCCACATATCATCTCAGATCCATTAAGCCAATTCATCTACAGTACAAACACACTTGCCAATGAGATCATACTGTACATACACAGCAGCTTGTATGCATAAGTCTAATGACAAATACTGCTGATATGATCTCACAGCTGTGTTCCTCTCTACTCTCTTTCTCTCTCCCTCCTCTGTTCTCTCACTCCCAAAATCCCCATGTTTGTAATATTCTCTCCATCAAATTCCTCAAATATCTGTTTAGTGTTTTCTCTCTTCCTCTGTCTTTCCCCCCCAGCATCGGAAAACAAAGATAAATAGACACAATCTCCACTGCGCTGAACTATTGTACACTTAACAAGTAAGTAAACAAACACACACCACCACACACGGACAGCCTCACACATTAAGTATGGAGAAATAAAGACACACACACAAACACACAGGCCACGTTGTCTCCCTTTGCTCCCAGTGGTCACGTGACAAAACACTTGCATCCCATCACCTCTCACCTCTCTCTCTCTCTTTCTCTCTTTCTTTATCTCACTCAGTAGGAATCTGTGTGCTTAGTCAGAGCTGGGAGGAGAAGCTTGGCAGGAGAGGAAGGGAGATGTTGGACAAATGAGAGGAAAAAGAGAGGAGGGAAAGTGTTTTGTGCAAAGAATAAAAGCAGATTGAGTTCCAGTCATTCTCTTTTCCTCTCGACTCTCACCACCCTCGATGCTACATGAACCGTAGGCCTGCTCCAATGAGAAGAAGGATTGTGGTGGGTTGGGCATGCAGTGGAGGCCTGCCAACACACACTCATACTAGAACAACATTTAACTCACTTAAACACACATTTTATTGACACTTTTTCACCCCCCCCCCCCNNCCCCCCCCCCCCCCCTTCTCCTAGCATTTAATTTTGCCGTAAGCCTATTATCACATTGAAGCACTGTGTGGTTAAACCCTATACTACCGTGTGTGTTAGTGTGTGTTAACTCAGTCCTCACCCTCAGTGAAAGGTTCCCAGTTGTAGAGGCGACCCATGAACTCTTGGGTGTTAAAGGCTGCACACTGCTCTGCTCTGGACTCCAATGCACCTCCTCCACACACCTGGAGGA